AAAAAAAAAAAAAAAAAAAAAAAAAGCAACCCTGCGTAACAAACGCGCGGGAGGTTGGGCAAACCAGTCGGCCAACGGCAGACCCATGGAAGGATCGCCGCCATGAAAGCGTTACTGGTTTGCAAGCTGGCATAGTTGTTGCGGCTAACAGGATGTACACCCTTAAGCTACGCATAGCAACCGTAAAGAAGAGACGTACACATGTTAGCATGTATGCATATTCCCCCATAACGAAAGAGTGTTGTTCACCAACTTAAGGTCTCCACTTCTGTTGCCCCCTCAGAAGGAACAAAATGTACATTATCCCTGAATGCTGCATATGTAGGCTCAGCTTAAAAAACAATCTGTGTGTAGAAAAAAATTGCGGAAATGTATTCCACTACAGTTGTATGAAGCAATGGATCGGTGTCCAAAAATCCTGCCCCCTGTGCAAAAGCACGTGTTGCAAAAAGAACCTGCTATTTATACACTATGAAATTAACGAGGAAAATAAAATGCCCGTCATAGACGAAAGCTACATGCACAAAAATAAAAATGAGCTGTACGAAAATTTAGTTAAATTCGAAGAGGAACTGATCAAAACGCAAAATCAAAATGAAAAGTATTCCCTTGAAATTTTAACCTTAACAAATAAAAATAAAATTTTAAGTGACACAATTAGCCAAAATAACATCAAAATTGATCAGGAGAAAAAAGAAAAATTAAAACTGAAGGAATTGAAGGATGAATATTTGAAGGAGAAAATATTACTCTCTACAAAAATACAAGAATATGATAAGGAATTGAAAAAATACAAAATCATCGAAAAATATTTAAACGACTTAAATAAGGAAGACTTAAACAAAATTAATTTACTCTTTGGCTTTAATGTGTTAACTCTAGAGGAACAGCAAAATGTGATTTTAAATTATCTTAAAAATTGCCTCAGCACCCAGAAGAAAAGTGAGTTAATTGTGAAGCAACTTAAAGAAGACATAACAAAGAAAGATGATCAAATACAAGACTTGAAAGAAAAGCTGTACACTTATAAACTCCAGCATGATATTGCGGAGGAAGACAATTTCGACAGGCAGTCAATGAATGAGCGGGGGGGAAACGACATGAAAACGATTAAAATTAAAAGTAAAGTCATTCGGAGAGTCAAAACGTTGGACTCCGGCATGAAAGGGGATGTGAGACGGCCAGGCCCGGCTCCGTACAGTAAATGCAACACGAGCGGCACCAACGTGATGGGCAGTAATGAACAGAGTGGCAGCCAACTGTGCACCAATCCGTTGAGTGGTGGGAAGTTGAGCGGCGGGAAGTTGAGGAGCAGCCAGTTGAGTGGCGGTTCCCGAGGCAACAGCCAAGACTTCCTCAACTTTATCGACAAAAAAATCAACAACACCCCTGAGCATGTCAATATCACCCCCAAGAAGAGGAAGTGTCACTCAATCGAAATTGACCTCTTCAGGAACAAGTCCGTGGACAAATTTTTTAGCGACCTCGCTGAAAAGAACAATTCCGGGGAGTGCAAGGATCTGGATGAGGTGTACTCCATCCCAACTGACTCGGGGAACACCAAGAGTTCGCAGAGCAGCTTCAAGCCGCCCACAGGATCTTCCACTTCGCTCACGCAAGTGCACGGCGTTAGAGCCAGCAAAGGGAAGAGTAAGAAATCCTACACCAAGCAGTCAACCAAAATAACGGATTTTTTTAGGCGCCTCTGAGGGGACATCTCCTCCCTCCTTTGTGGAGCTCTGTGTGCAAAGTTAAATGTGCCATGTTTTGTGTCTGCACCTTGCCAGCTACACACCTTCGTAAACATATTCAAGTGTATGAGGTGTAGACACATCCTGATGATAAATTTTTTGTTAACCAGATATGTGAGATCACACCCTCCTGATCCCAATTTTTCACGCTCAACTAATTCGCGTTTCGTAATTTTTTTTTTTTTTTTCAAGTTTACCTTGCTGTTCATAATTTTTTTTACAATTTGCCTGCCTAGTCACCTTCATTATTTATTTTATTTTTTTTGTGTGTGTCAAGCGAAGTTGCCTTTTTATGCATACACGCGTGTAGGTATGCCCTTGTTTTTGTGACATATTTTTTTTCAAAATTAGCAACTTTTTCGCCTTCACAAGTGAAGCACTTTTCGCGAGGGCCAAGGGGGGGATATGCTCCTTGGCCAGTTGGGTGAATTAATGGCGGGGAGTGGACTAAGCAGTGGACGACTGATCAGTGGACAACTGAAAAGGGAACGACCACGCTGCGAACCCCACATCGGGCGAAACAAATAGTTAGGGAACTCCCCCACAGGAGGTACATTCCTTTAGTGAGGATAACAAAAAAAATATATTGAGCAAGTTTGTGTGACAAAAAAAAAAAAAAAAAAAAAAGAAGCAATGGCGTCATTTTTGCGAAAAAGGCGCCATTTTTCAGAGCAATATGAACATGTATTTGGCTAACCTACTTATGGACACCCTTCCTCTGATGGGGAAAGAATCTCCCGTCTTTTTTTTTTTTTTTTTTTTTTTTTTTTTCTCTGTTCACTTGGAGTTGCGCAGGAAGGGCAAAGTAAAGGCGGACTTTCTGGAGTTAAAAAAGTCCAAAAAGGAAATGAACTCTTTCCAAAAAAAATTATTCTGTAGCGTGTTAGAATTTCCAACAATGATAATTCCTTTCTTCATTCTAGTCAAAAGAACATTCAACCTCTTTTCATCATTTAGAAAGCCCAACACATTTTTGTCATTCGATCGAACTGTGCTTATAATAATGAAGTCGTTTTCGCACCCCTGGTAACTGTCTATGGTGTGCACATTTCTGTGCAGAATGTTAACATTTGGGTCGATTTGTTGGTGTTCCCTGAATGCTTGGTTATAGCTATGGGATCGGTTGTTCCACATATTGTACCTACTGATGGTTCTTCCGTTTGGAGGGAGTTGAGACGTGGTAGGAAGTACTTTCTCAGAGGGATGGAAATTGTTTTCACCCATTATCTCACCATTTGGTGGAAACCTCTTCAAAAGGATGTTTCCAAAAAGGGGGGCTCCTCCACTTGGATGATCAGTTTGGAAGACACCCTCATTGGAAGGGTTATGAGGTAGAACAACATGATGGATGTTTTCCTCCCTGGAGATTCCACTCAACCCGTGGGTCCTCCCCCCCATATTGCCCTTGTTAAAAAGTTCGAGCATTTGGCCATGATTCCAATCCGCACTCAAATCGGTATCTCTGATCGGGGTGCTGGAATGCTCACCTCGAAAAAACATACCTTCAGCAGTTCCAGCCACCTTTTGGTACATGACATTTGTGCAAGTTTCTTTGTTTTCCTTTTCGTCATGGTACAATATGGGATCATGTGGATTGGTTACATCGCCCAGGTAGCCATTTCGCAACAGAGATTGGATATACAACTTTTGGCCCGTGTACGGAGTCAAAATGGTAACATTTTTCTGATTCTCCAGCTTTAACATTTGAACGAGCTTCATAATTATCTGTGCCTCAAAGGGATTCACATATGAGTAGTTAATTTTGAATTCATAAGTTTGATCATTGGCCGCCTCTCCATGGTACGTATCGATGAAGAGAATCGGTACTGTGCAATGTTGGAAAAGGTTGTCCCAGTTTAAGTGCGTGGGGTGTTCCTTTGCTACGTCCTCTACCTTGGTGTCTACAACCCTATTTGTTTTTTCCCTTGATGGGAAGAAGTCGTCCATAATTTTTTTCGACGCAATTAATTTTCTCTCGTAAAAATAAAAGGAAGTAAATAAGTACATAGGAAAAATTAACCTGTATTGAATAAGTAGACTGTGACACTTGGCATTTTTGTAATGACTTAATTTTTCGAAAATGCTGAGGTAATTTATTTGGAGTCTCTTTTTCTCATTTATTAAGCTGTGGAAAGTTAATTGCTTATCGTCACCGAAGGCGTATACAAAATCACAGTTCAGATTCAAACAGATCAGACTGCTATATTCAGATAAGCTGGACGCCTCGTCGATAATTAAGTGCTTTATTTTTTTATCTTTAATTTTAAAGGCTTGATAAATGGTGTCTATATAAATATCTGACTTTTGGTTGTTTGCCCTATGTATAGTATCTCTGTTGAGACAGAGGTTAAGGTGCAGTAACTTTTGTCGTACGTTTTGCACCGAGATATGTTTGCTTGTGCCTACGAAGATGTTGTTCTTTCGATCCAGGGTTAGAAAGTATATGATGAAGGAAATGAGATCGCTTTTGCCACTCCCGGGCGCGCCTGCAAAGAGGGGGGGATTTTTAGTGGCGAGGTGTAACAACGGATTGTAACTTGATTAAAAACCGGTTCAACCAACACTCCATCTGCGGAGAGACCAAAACGATGTCGATGTGCGCATCTCTCTTTTTCTCATTTTCTTTTCCCTCCTCCTGCTGTGAACTCACCCCGAATCAGGTGCACGGGCACACCCCCTTCGTTGATCAAAATGTCCTGCAACACGCCCTTCTGGTAGACATCGAATCTCCTGTACATAGTGCACATGCGTGAGAATTCCTCCGGGCTGTTTTTCAACCTTCTGTACAATTTTCCAACGACTTTATCATTCTTAATAAGGTCCTTGTTAACCAGGTCAAAGAAATGGATCTCCTTTTTTCGACTCTCCAAAAATTTATGTATAGCCTCTTGGATGAGGAAGTTGTAATTTCCGTCGTGGTGAACCCCGATACACATGTTTGTCACCTCGTGGGGGGACACCACAGATGATGAATTCTTCTCTTCGTTTAGAAGTAGTTGTAGGAGTTCGCTGTGGGGGGACTCTTTCCTCCTCTCGAACAGACTTAGCATGGAGACCTTTATTCGGTTCGAAATGGTATTGAGGTGAACTGCTAGGGTGACGGCTTCGTGGACGTTGGGGTCCTCTGTGTGGGGAGGCTGTTGTGGAGGGTCCTCACATGATCGGTCATGGTTGTTATGCTCTCCATGCGCATCATCACCGATTGTATGCTCTCCACACGCGTTATGAATTTGGGGGCTTTTTCCCCCTTGCGCAGCCGCCGCAAAGGACAACTCGTGCGCTCTTCCGCTGCTTCTATTCAGGTAACTCTCCACGTATTCCTCACTTATGTCTATCTCCTCATACAGTTTGGTCCCGTCTCCCCCCTTGTTTACGCAGATGTACCGTTTGACATTCATAAACAGGATGGAAAAATCTCTGGCCTTCTGTATTTTTTTAAGCACTCCTACTAAAAACGAGTCCTTCATGTGACCACATTTAATTAAAATGATATCATTGCTCTCAAGCTCAACTTCCCTCGAAGCGATAAACTTGTAAGAAGTTTTCTCCTTTTTACAGTAGCGAATTTTGTATGCCTGGTGCAGTTCGAATGTCCTCTGCATATTTTGGAGCCCCAAGTGTTTTTCGTAATATATATTGAATAGGTAATTTAGAATGTACCTTCGTATTTGTGCACAGGTTTCATTAGAGGGGATGTCCTCACTCATTTCTCTTCCATGATTTTCCCTTTCCCTACTGTTGTCCTGTTCATGCAGGGATCTTTCATCTGCGCGCTCCGCCTCATGTGTAGTGTACGTTGTTGCACTTGTGTCGTCATTTTTTTGCTCTCCCTTTTGTGGATCTACTAAATGTAGCGATGCACTGGTAGGAGAATTGTGAGATGGGGAAGTCTCCCCTCCAGGGAAGTTATTCACGCGGAGGTCACTTGCACTCCGTACGGGGCCACTACTACTGATGGGTGTCATCCCAGGAGAGACACCCACCTTCGCGTCGAAGAAGACACAATGCAGAGAATTCAACACCGATATAAATATGTGCGGCCTCAACAAAAGTGATGTTAATATATTTTCGAAAAACAGGAAATCTTTTTTTTTATTTTCACCAAAAAATTCGGCCTTCAAAAAGTTCCTCCGCAGAATTTCCAACCATATTTTTTCCTCCTTCACGTTGTTTCTCTCCTTGTGGGATAGGAAGGACTCCCAAATTTTGTAAAATTTGGTGTAGCTGTTTTTTTTTTTTTTTGTACCCTTTTGGTTGTTCTGCGGGGAGTTGCTGATGGGGGAGAGCGTGTTCTGTTGTGCCTGCGTCTTTTCAGGGATCCTTTCGACATGCCCCTCTTCTTGTTGCCTTCCTTCATCCAATATATTTTTAAGGTGCACCTTTGGCACGGCACCTTTCACTTCGCCATCCTCGTTGACCTTTCTAATGTGTTGCGACCCATTTGGCTGACCCACTTCCAAGCACCCAGTCAGTTTGGCCAGCTCTCTTTTCAGCTTCCATAACGTCTGCGTAAAATTCTTTACCTTGCTACCTGCCTCGTTACTCACACAAACGGATGATTCTTCAGTGAGCTTCCAGTAAATTTCAAAGTTGAAGGGATTACTCCTTTCCACAATGAGCTTGGCATACCCAGGTCTGTAACATTTATATAGCTTCAAGTATTCTTTATGATCCTTCTTGTAAATTATTTTATTTTTCTGTAGGTCCTCAAATTTGTCTAGGCATTTTTCATTTTCAAATATTTCGTGGGTTAACTTCTTTCCCGAATGGTGGTTTTTTTTTTGTGTGCGAAAACAATTGGGCAATGTACTCACCAGCTTTTTGCTCCTCAAAAGGTTCATAATTGGGACGACGTCGCAGGGTGTGTGTGTGAGGCATACAACCAGTTAGCTAGTTTGCTTTTTAGCTAGCTATCTTGGCTAATTTAACTGCGTATTTTTTTTTTTTTTTTTCTGATCTGAAGAAAAGACCTATCAACAAGATATGATATAAAGTAGAAAAGGACAGAAAAAAAAAAAATGGATAGGTTTTAACACGGGTGTGCAGATATCCCTCTCTTTTCTTGGTATCGCACTCGTTTTCCCGAGTCACATTTTTTTTCTCTCTCTCACTCTCCCTCCTTTTCGCCTACTTACCATTTGTGTGCATTTTGGTTTCCACGTCTACAGCTTTCTCTCCCCCAGAGATAAGGCCTTTCTAAACTGCATTGCGCGTAGCGGCCGCTTCTCCCTTCGCAGATTCATTCACCAATTTGGCGCAGCATATGGGTAGGCACAATTGTATGCACATATGTGTGAACGTGTGCACCTTCGTGTGTTCACCTCCCCGTGACTCATCTTGGCAAATGATGCCTGCACAGCGGGCGAAGGGTTCACTATTTGAGCTTTACGCTTGGTTGACCCTGTTCGGCCGCATCTGCAATACACACAAAGGTGAGTCACCAACCATCCCTGTGCTGTTGCTTGCCAAACAAGAAACGTTGGTGTGAACAAAAATCGTTTCCTGTTCGTAACGGGCTCGCGAATCAACTCCACTGCGGTGATTCTCCTCCACTTTATAATTGACTTGGATCCCTTTGTGACCCTTTAATGTGAACAAAAAAAAAAAA